ACGTCGCGGCGCTGCATGCGGGTGTCGTGGGGTTTATAACAAACAGGTACGGGATGTGTAGGGAAGCGCTCTTGGTGTATTTTGAGTAATGTCTTTCTGTATGCGAGATTGTGCCGCGCGCTTACTACTTAGCACCAGATCTTTAGGATGTCAGGCGTATAGAAAGTCCTCGTACTTCTTCGCTCGTACGCGTTTGCGTAGTGTCTTGCATTGGTCGGCGTCGCTAAGACCCCGCAGTTCTGCTTTTAAGTTACGTATTTGATCTTTGCTGCGGTAGTCGGTGTTAATTTCTTCGGAGTGGTCTACTAGATCTTTTTACCATTCGTGCGGCATTGTGCCTGCTATAGGAGGCGGCTGGCATGGATCCCCAGCAAATACAACTTGACACTTTCCGCGGAGGAAGTCTACGAACTCCTGCAGGATTTCCAAAGGAACGGTACAGATTTCGTCCCAAAGTATTACTGGTGGTATGTCATGGATGGCTTCAGGTACCCACTTTTGACCGTTCCAACAAAAGAAGCTGTGGTATGTTTGCGCGTCGAAACCCATCTCACGGAGTTCCCTTTCCAAACGATGCGTAGGAGTTAGCACCTTTATCTTAGGAAAGAGTTCTAACACACGCGTCGTCTTACCGCTGCCGCCCGTACCGTAGAGGTAAGAGAAGCGTTGGTAAGAAATGGGGTCCGCAACTGAAGGTAGGGGGTCCGCGGTGGGGGTTCCCTCCAAGCTTTGATTTCTTCGTCTTTGACGCGCCATTGTCCACTTTCCGCTAACTCGTCTTCTGTGTAGAATTCTTTCATCTTCTCTAAGACGTGCGGTTTCACGTACAAGGAATCCGTAGCTACGCGCGGAACGTCCTCTTTGTCAAACCGTAGGAGCATTGCTAAGAGATTGATATGCGCATATGCGAGCATACTGGCACGCAGATGGTAATACTGCGGCCGATGGTCCTGGTAGTAACACAAAGCATTCCATTTGTGTAGTTGATCTTCTACTAAATAGTCCCATTTCTCCACAGACACCATTGTTCCTTGTTCATGGGTGCGCTTGATAAGGAAGCTTAGTTCGTCCGTTATTAGGCGTCTTTGCATATGTTTCTCGCCCTCCTTAGCACCTTGTGTGAACTTTCCTATGACGATTTTTGCGGTTGGGTTGTGCTCCGGTAACCACTTCGTGAAGCTACTGTGGCAAAGTATAGCTTCATGCGCGGTGTATTTTAGCAATTGGCGCTCTTCGAGGAACTTTAACAATGGTACGGGTATCCATTCTTTCTCCTGTAGATGCTTACCATACCAAGCGTAAATTATGGGGTGTAAGCCCTTTGCTAACTTCCAAGAGGTCAGTCTAACAAATCCTGTAGCCGGCGTAGTGGCCGTCTAACGAAACACGAAAGAACTGAGAGTCTGGGTGTCCGTAGCGGTCGTAATATTCCTTACAATCTCCTAGGCCTTTTTTTCCTCCTCTTTTCTTTTCAGAGTTAACTTACCTCCGCAGGCGGAATCTTCAAAGAACTCCCTGACTAACTTTCCTACGCAGTTGCCAGGATGTCGCATTGGCTTGAGCTTTTTAACGTCTGGTTCTTTGATCTCGTATGCGCCATAGATTACTACTGTAACAGGGTAAGCAACTTCGTAGAACAACATGTCGATGCCTATCAGCGCTCCAGGCCTGGTATTCTTGTTTAGGACGAACAAGCTTTGCTTACCAGACGCCCGAATAGGGTTACGACCTCTTTCTAKTATCCATTCACCGTCGTAATACTTTATAAACGTTAACTGTAAACGGTAATTACCTTCAGGCATCAGGTTTATTATCTTTTCGGCTCTTTCTTCGTCCATGATTTCTTCTGTGTCTCCTTCTGTGAATGTCGTGAAGGCGAAGTCGGCGTCCAAACGATCCAATACCTGGGTTCGCAACTTGCGTACAGTTTTGTTTTGAATGCTTTTGATGGCGTCCATCTATATCTAGGAAATATTTTAACCTTCGTTTGCGACACACTCAGTAATGCGGGTCACCGGTAAAACCCGTAGAGAGCTTTTCAAATCGAATTACGCAGGCATTACACATAGGGACCTTACGGGTAATACCCGCGGCCGACGCACGTACGTGAAGGCGGGTAATACCCATGTAATTCCGGGGGGTGACCGCGGTTCCCCCTAACTGCTGCTGAAGGACCAGAAGTGCTTAGGGTTTTCCTGAAGTTTTCCAGACAGAGACTTTAAATACTGTTGATAACTTGAGTTGATGAGTTTCTTAGTTTTCTTTCTGAGTTCMTTGAATTTTAAGTATAGTTCCTGTGATTCACTTGTCTTCAAACGTTTCCAGAGTTTCTTCTTTTTTCTAATTAGTTTCATGATTTCGTTGTTAATCCATGGAGGTCTTGATCGTCGTTTAATTGTAACTTGAGGAATGTGACAATCAATAGCAGAAAATAAGATGTCTTGAAATTTCTCCAAACAAGAGTCAATGGAAGCATCAGAAATAACCAGATCCCAGGGCAAAGCGTGTAGTGTCTCTTTTAGACCTTTAAGGTCAGCATTTTTGTAACAGTAGACCTTTCGTTGGGCATTATTAGGCCTTCTCATCTTTGAGCGTATCTTAAAGGTAACTGGGTAATGGTCAGAATCAAAGGCATTTGGACGAACCACAACATCTTCAACAAGAAATTCATTGTTTGTAAGAACTAAGTCCAAAATGTTCCCAGTATCAGCTGAATATCTGGAAACACGAGTTAAATGCAAGGTCTTTTGTTGCAGGAAGAAATCACCCAAGATATTACAAAACTCTTCTGTTCCAGGGTCAGAGATGAGGGGACATCCAGTATTCCAATTAATATTTGGAAAATTGAAATCTCCAGTCACAATTAGGTTTGATAACCCTGTCTCTGAGTACTTGACCAGAAAATCTTTAAAATGAACAAGAAAAGAATCATCTGCATTAGGTGGTCTGTAGAAAGTAGAGAAGAGAACACACATAGGGTTTGGTCGAATCTCAAGGGCCAGCATCTCGGCTTCAACTTTGAGGTCTTTCCTATGAATACAGGAGATGTGATTTCGAACAGCAATAAGCACTCCTCCACCTCGTTTATTGCATCTATCCTTCCGGAAGATATTGTAGGATGCAAGATGAAGCTCAAAATCCTGGTAGTTGACATCCAACCAAGTCTCGGTCATGGTAATGATATCAAAGGAATCCGTGAGCAGTAAAGCCTGTAAATCAACTACTTTATTACGTATACGTCTAGCATTCAAAAGCAGGACATTTGGAAAATTGGTATGCCCAGTAGTACCAAGGTTCAAGGAAGATTGTAGATTATCAGAGCCATCAGTAACCATAGTGCTTTCTTTGAAGAATGAATCAGTAAAGTTGAAAGGAAAAGTACAGTCAGTACAGTACCAATTTACTTCAGAAGAGCTTAGTTCGGTATACGTACGAGTATTCATATTGATACACTTGATATGATGCCATTTACAACATCCATCACATAAGATACCCTTCTGATTCGAACGAACTGCCTTGCAGCAAACGGCACAAGGATGTTTCCACGTGGGTGGTTTCCTTCCAACACGAGCCTTCACTCCATTGGTATCCGAGGAGCCAGAATAACCAAGGTTTGGATGAACATCACCACAGATTAATAGGTTATCCAATTTGAGGGAAGCAGATGAGTTGTTATAACAAGCAATTCTTCGAAAGAAGTAGTGTTTCTTACGCTTTAACGTACAACCAAGATGGCCGCTTGAGCTGGATGGSTTAACGACATCAAAATCCAGTTTAAATATCTCGTTGTAGGCCAAAAGCTCACCAGCTGTGCAGGAAAGACCGCTAGAAAAGTTAAATTTCTCGGTGATTTGAGATGATTCGGTTGCTAAATAAGTCAAAAATAAAAAGATTTGGAGAGCAAACGCTTGCACGTCTACCTCCCATGCCTGGAGTCTAACCATTTGCCATAAACCTTGCCGGTTTAAGGTCTCGATAATCTTCAAAATACTTTAGTACTTTGGGTATTACGTTAGGTATTATACTTTGGGTAATGGTACTTTTAAGTTTTGATTTTAAGTTTATTTAAGGAATATGAACTGCGCGCACGTTACTACTGTGATGTAAACGTCACGTCGGGAACTGTAGAGTAGCCAAGTATTTCTCTTGCTTTTCGAGTACTGTACAGCTCCCAGAGTGTTTATATCACAGTACAGAGACATAAGCAGCCGTTTTATATTGCTTTTATAAAGTATTTGACATAAACATGGTAGCCAGCTAATCAGCGCGCGCKTTATATCTCAAATATTTTATAATAAATAGACATACATTATACACTTAATGTCTGGTCTCTCCGGAAATAGTTAGTTTTGTTTTCCCGAGAGTCTCGAGGGAAACATCGAGACTCGAGGGAAAACAAAATAACTAATTTTCGGAGAGACCAGACATTAAGCGTTTTGTCATATGGTAATTAAGAAATATTGAGAAGTCAGTTTACGAAATAAAAACTTTATTTAGCAATATATTTTTAAATGAAAAATGCATGAAGACTGACAAATGATTTTACAAATACAACTCTCATACGGTCTTGTATTTCGCTACCAAAAAGCGAGGAGAGTAGCAATAGTATTTTTAGCCTCTTTTTTCGTATTTTCCGAATCCTTTTTCTCGATGAACGTCTGTATCTATTCTCTAGAAACACTGGAAATTTTCTGCTTTTTTCCTTTGAGCTCCATTCACATTGAAAATTCCAGCAAAATACCTGCTCCCGCTTTGTTGTTTGTGAGCAGCCAAGCGAGATGAGACCGTGCATGATGCGAAATAATTTGATGATATGATCATTAGCAAACAATAGAATTCCCAGAGCATCAAATCGTTGGGAAACGATCAATGTTTTCTGTATTTCTCGTTCGCTTTAGATCGCTTTAAATGTGTTCAATAGTCTTACAATTTTGTGTAATATTAGTTTAAGTTCTAATTTGTACCCGGACGTAGTTTTGAGAGAAATTATCAGTGAATTTTAGAATAATGGAAGATTTAGTAAGATTGACTAGAAAACTGCAATGCAAAGTGTGCATCAAATGTTTACCGTGTCTTATGCATTATACATTTTCACAAAATCGCATAAGTCGATTACCTTCAAAATATTCCTTTTAAAACTAGATACAGAGTAAAACTAAATGAGCAATGACTTTTGTGAATATATAGCTCTGAAATATTAATTTCGGYCGTATSAAATCCATTGTTTAGTTTTGAAGTAGATTATGCACTATATTTAAAGAATCTCAAATATCTCATAATTAGCTAAATAGATTTTTTCAAAAATCCCTACAAATGGAGGCATCTAGTATATAATTATGTGGTACGAAGCATTTTAGTGTTGAACGCTCTGCAAGGCTAAAATTGCTCTCTAAACGAAAACAAATATTTCATCAGAATCACGTGTTATGACGTCCGATCTCATTAAAAACTGCATCAAACATTAATTCAACCTTTATCTGACTTATGTGCAAAAAAGATTTGCAATCGGATAAAACACGTTTATTCGCCAGCGTTCCAAACTTGGAAGGTAGCGGTCAAGCGTGAGGGGGTCCAACCACCTTAATTCAAGGTTTGACTTGATGTAGTGTTCATACATTTTTATTTATATATCAAATGCAACATCGACTTGGAATCATTCTTTCGTTGCCTCATTAAAGTGAATTACGGAAAGCTATATCGAATCCGCTATATTGAATCAGTAATATTATATATGAAAAAGACGTATTACAACGTAGTACCACATTTTCTTTATAATGCCCTACAGCTCTTTTAAAATAACAGGTTGTTAAAAGTTTTTGTGTCATGTTGCATGCAACTCGATGTTGCATCTTAGTAAGTTGCTTACTAAGCTTGAACTGTAAAATATATATTTTTAACTAATTACTTTTGACACTGATTTATATTTTTTTTCCATAAATGTAATTCTTTTTTCTTTTTT